ATCGTTCCCAGTATCCGATTTGCATCATCGTCTTCACTCAGTTTTACCTAAACTTTTTGAATTAACTCACCACTCCAGCCTAGTACTGAATAAAAAAAGATTTCAAAGAGATTCAAAGAAAACTATATGAGAAACATTTACAAGGAACAATAAAAATATAAGACTACAAGAAAAAACAGTTCAAAATGGGGAAAGAAATCTCACTATATCTCGTCGTGCTTTCGGATCCAGTGCAAAAGGACCGTCCTGTCCGATCACTCGACTCCAGCAATCTCGTACAACAGCACCGCCTTGCACTGAAACTCACAAAAAATAGAGGTCGTTTTGATAAGGCAGAGCCTCGCTATCATTTGCCATAACGATAATGGAGTAGGGGTTCGCATATAGACGACAAGAGCTGAGTAACTCGATAGTGAAGAAAAAAGCAGAAAAAGGCATGCCAACTGCCCTGGGTAAAACCCCGCTTCGAATTCTGTTTGTACGTGCCCCATAAACTCCATCTCCAAAATGACTCCCCCATCCGCACAGCTGATTCCCGATAAGAACTCTACGACCGTACAAGTGACGATTTTCATGCTTTTTCGTCCTGCAGCTTCGTTTTTCACTGAAAGGCGGGCCTTGAAGGCGGAGTCTGGAGGCGGAGTCACTGGAAAAAAGGAGGCGTCACTGAACCTATATTGCGCTATAGCGCCCCTCCCTTACAATTTTTTGCCGCGAAACCGGTACAAGGTTGTCCGTGCGCACAGCACTACTCTTCCGACGCCATAGTCTCAGCTTCTATACCTACCGTGCCTTTAAAGCCTCGCGTGGCGCTAACTATAGCAACAAGGCTTTTTTGTTCCAAAGGAAATAAAGGAAAGGGGAAAAGGAAATGAATGTTTCAAAGGAACTAAAATAAATAATAAAGGTTAAATCTTACTGCAAACGTCTCTTTTTGCTGGTGGTTCCGTGATCACAGCCTTGATGCAGACGCTATTTGGGCAATCCACGACGGGCAGCGAGTTTTTCACCTGGAATTTTGGGAAAAAATTGAGTCATGAGCCCGACATTTTCACCATTGATGAGTTGAATTATATTCAGAGCTATACAATTATCGAGTCAACGGCACTGCACGGTTGCGTCCCGGTGAAAATTGCACGCGACTTCCCTCCCCCTTCTTCCTACCTTGCCTCACAAACACACAGGCGCCTATAAATTGCTATTCTGATATCGAGTTGCTCGCCAAAGAATCCTGTCCCATTCTTCGAGGTTTTTTAGCGCCCTCCATTACGTTGTTTTGCTGCTGCTCCGATGCTGGGCCTAATAAATCTAATGTGTTGGGTTACAACCCACTATATAAATCATTCCGGAAAACACATTAAATTTCAATCTCGCTACTGACAGCTTATCACATGCGTTGTAAACTTCCTGGCAGCCAAACGTAAAACGTTCCACGCATACCTGATCACAGCTTTCGTTAGCAAACCATGGGAACTCTCGAAGATACTGCAGCTTGTTCGTCTCTTCGTCCTTTGGCTGAAAGAGAATGACAGTAATCGTGATCGATAGCGCACAGACCAGGGCACGCCATTCGCGTTGTGATCAATTATTTTAGAAAAATACGACGTCCGCCTATCCCATACTCAGGTAAACCCACCTCTCTATGCTACCTAGCTACTTCCCTAGATTTTCCCCACTTCCTAACACTTTTTCCCTTTTTCTCCGAAAACTTCTGATTTCCGCAAAAATTTGCTTCGAGCGGCGAGTGGGGGCGGGAAGGGGGGAGGGGGGGGGGGGGGGAAAAGCCAGTCAGTATTCAAGTATAGTTTTCAAACTATCGGAAATAGTAGTTGTATGGTCTTCGGCAGTCCCTCTCCCCAACTTCTACAAACTCCCCTTCCCCTTATAGCGTCCACTGAAATAACAGATGAGAAACTTATCAGAAAAAGTTTCTCGGAGTAAAACGGGCCCCTCTCCCCTCTCTCGCGGTCAAATACGACCCCCCCCCGTGGTGATCATCACAGCGATGGCGTACCCTGCTCACCATGGAACAGGCTGCGGTGGGAAGAGTAGCCTCAGCTATATGGAGCTGAGTACATTAAGGTGGACGCGGCTTATTTGTGACTCTGGTTCAGACTACGGGCCAGGACCTTAAAATTGCGTGTCGCGCGACGCCGCGACACCGCAATTCTGACAGGACCAGGCTAGTCTTCACCGCACCCATCTTATATCTTTCAGCGTGAATTCACTTGAGCCGATGTGTAGTGACAGTCAATAATACCTCGATTTGCATACTTTTTGAGCTACTTTCCCTGAGCTACTTTCCACAGAATGAATGTTGTGACCCTTTACGCTCCCCGAAGTACACTGAGTTGGCACCGAGTGTAAGAAAACCGTCAAAAAAAACAGTTCGGCTCGGGGGGGGACCTGCATTGCACTTGCACTGTTTTCACTAGTACCGGTTCACAAGTTTCACTCCGGTGAATCCTGTCAACTCTTGTAAGCTCATGGAAAAGCTCAGAAAATGAATTTCACCATGAATTCACAAGAAATGACAGGTACCCTCCACAAGAGGTACATCAATTTGATGACTTAGCACGCCGATGATGGCGTACCCCAAAAGCAAAATGCCCTTCCCGTCTCGGAAACGCCCCCGAAAAATTATTGAAATTGAAAATTTGTAGACTAGTTCGAACAATCGATCAAATGAGAAATATTGAGGGAGGGGGTTGAAAGCAAATAGGCAGCTCAGTTTTCATTAGCGTGTCTTTAGACGGAAGCCGAGCAAAAACGTAGCCCTCGTTCTGCGCTCATCAGTAAGGGGAGGGTGGAGCATCGAATTCGATGAATTTCATGAAAACCATGAAAGAAACTGAATTTGTACGTACGACCATTTCCACCACAGGTATAGGTGATCCGGTTCCAAGCGTGAATAAAAGCTCCGACTTCATTTAGACTTGGACTACCGTGAAACCCCTAATTGACGGCCCGTCGGCTCAATGACATCCTCAATTTCACATTCAATCAAGCAACTTCAAAGGGCGAGCCCTTTTCAAGGGCGTCTCGTCGAAATCCTTCCCTTTCGAAGGGCCTCCGTTCAAAAAGCTTCCGGGAAAAAGGCGCCCGAATTCTCGGAGTTATCTGCTTAAACAGTTATGGCTTCGCAAAGTCGGCGAGTCGTGGTCTGTCAGAAGGCTTACGGAAAGCAGGTCCCAAAACATTCAATGTCAGTGAGTTGGAAAATTAGGGAATCTGGTAGACTTCAAGATCATTCATGGGTTTGCATTTTGAAAGATCTTCAAAAATCTTGAAGCGTGCAGACAGCCAATATGAGGCGAGTGCAGTCTTGTTGCTGCGAATGCCGGGGAGGACCAGGGGGTGGCGCGGCTCCAGCCCATTTTTCTCAGATCATTGTCGCTTGCCCACTCCAAAAGTTGGTAGAGAACCAGTTGGCGAACCAAACTCAGCCCCTTGACCTGCTTCAGCAACGAGCCAGAGGGAATCTGCATTTATACTTTGCGACTCGGAGGATTCGCCGTTGTGGTGGAATAGACGGAAGTTTCCTTTTCGCGCAGTCCCTCAAAACGCCGGTACTGCCGATGCCTCGAAACGCCTATTCTCCCGAGTCGCAAAGTACCAACCTGGTCTTGCAAGGTGACTCTTATGCAGATAGAGCAATATAACCTTTAATCGTCATATTTTCACCTAATCCCATGCAAAAAAGACAAGGGTTTTCCCATGACTGGAAACACATGTAAAAAAACAGCTTGAAAATGTGCAAAAAAAAGTAGCTGTTGAGACTTTAGGAGGCTTTGTAAGCACTCACCCATCTTAATTGCAGTTGCGGTGATGAACAGCTGTAGCACTTCTCTGAAAAAGAAGTAGTATGAGAGGGAAATTCGACTAAATTTGATTTCCATCCATTTATTTCCTTTCTTTAACTCTGGGCATTGCTTTCAGATGTTAGACCATGCCACCTTTCTTTCGCCAAAATACAAGGACGAAGTCTTGTCGACGAAGCTACTTGTAAATCGAAAAGTCTTATTACCAGAGCCTGACCTGTAGTTCTAATGCCTCTGTAATGTTTCGAGAGTTCGGTGGCGACGCTACTTTTCACTATCCGCCGTCTTTCTCAGTGGGATTAGTGACAGAAAGAAAAGAAAGGAATAACGAAAAAAGGAAAGAAAGGAAGAAAAAAGAGAGAAAAGAAAGTGTTCCATAGAAAAATTTGTATCTTCATAAGTATGGTGCTGTCCGAGAGCCTTGTGGTCACAAAAGGAATCGTAACCAAAACTTTAGCTATTGCACAAAAACTCGCAAGTCACAAAAGAAACTCGAAAGTTACTGGTATTTTTCCGTACTGTTAGTGGTATATTTCATCGCCAGGAAATCTCTTCAGCAACCTGGGTTTCCCTGCCATTACGGCGTAGCAACCCTAATGGGTGCCTTACCTCTCAGGAAGGACTAAGTGCTAAGAAATAGCAAGACTGTGCCAAGCAGCAAGATATTCAAGCACTAATAGGATTTTTTTCTCGCCCTCCTTTGAGACATTTAAGCTTTTCTGTAACAAAATCTACAGTATGAACCTATCTGTAATATTTACAATGCTAAAAATAATTCATTATTTTATCCCTTACTATGTGGTGAGCGATAGACAGACAGACAACATGACACCAGATTTTTTTCCTAGGCGATCAAGTTACATACACTCTAACCGAAGTAAAATGTTGTAAGATGTAGGAGTAAAGTTCCAGAGAATGTGCGGGAAGTAGGAAGGGCAGGGGAGACAGTAGGACACCTCGGGTCAACTACTGAGTCAATTACTACCCCCGTCCAGCCAAAGTCTCCTGATTTTGTCGGATGGTGGTTCTTCTAGGGGATTGTAAGCACTAGGTTCCACATACATTCAGCTTCCTTCCCCCAATTCAAGTAGAGGCCAAATCAAATTTTAATTTTTTGCCATATCAAATTAATATGGGGTGTACCGCATTAAACAATGCAGCAAAAAGTGCTAAAATACAAAAAGAGCTCAGAAAAGGAAGGTGCTTATGAAAAATGGGACGTGCGCATGAGCCAGGATAGACACGGTTTTTCCAAATTGTGATCTTAGAGGTTCATATGAACCTATGGTGGGAATCCGCCTAGCCCGCTCACAAAATCGAATTCGAGGCTCGTATCTCCTCAAGCAGGCTCAGAGAGTGTGTTTTGGTCCTTTTTGAGAAGGTGCACGAGATTGAGTTGACTGGATAAGCAGCTCATTGAACAGCTCAGTCAAAATCGCTGTGGGGTTAAAACTGCGCTTAAGGAGTAGTTTTATCCCATGAATCCGCGATTATGGCCGTGCTGGAGCCAGTTCATAGGCAAACCTGAGCTTGGCATCCGACGGTGCCCATTCCTTGAAGTTTCAGCTTAGAAGGCAATTACGCCTCCACAAGAGAAGGCACAAATGCTTCACTGATTATGTATGGAATATGGACGTAGAGCTCCCAGAAATAAATCAAAAGCTCAAAATTGCCTCTTATTCCACTCCCTGTTTAGTCTGACCTGAACCACTCGTGAGAGGTAGATGAAATGGTTGAGGGCCTTTCAAGACAATCTCCAGGGAAACCTC